TAAAGTAAAATCTTAATTATAACTTAAGCATGCATTCTATTGTCAATACTAGTACGCTTGCAGCATAATTTGCATGCCACATGATATATTCAGCTCTGTGCTGCAAATACCTGAATCTACATTAATCTTAATTTTAAATCGTATGTTAGCTGGTGCATAGATGTATATATTAATTAGAAATTATCATTGAATAAGTTGATACAAGTAACAAATAAAAGTTGTGCATATCTGCGACATATCCTGTAATCTTATGCTACTATACCCCCGACTACAGGTATTTGACAATTTTTTCAATATTGTAATCGTTTAACATCATCACGAAGATATGATTGGTAGCAAACGGAATAAGCGGCAATATCCGTTGTTATCTATCATAAATTAATTTAGAGGTACAATTTCATGAATACTGCTAGAGAATTTTCATTCCCGTGCCCCATCACATATAAATACCGCGGTACCGCATCAATCTACCACTTATCCGGTTGGTTCACTGTCTTAAAGGATATTTCACCATTCACTGTATCCATACAAAATTACATCTGGTACTAGTGCAGAACAACAAACTCTGGCCACTGATGATGCTTTTAAAATTCAATTTTTAGAGGGTATCTTACTTGAAGATATTTGTTTTATTTGCTGATGATACCTCCTTATATGGCCTCATTGAGGACCACAGGCAAGAATGTGCTAATGTATTAAATGATGATCTAAGGAAAATTTCAATCTGGGCTAGAAAATGGGGAATTATCTTTAATCCAGATAAAACTATGGCCATGCTCTTCTCGAGGCGGGTTGACTCTGAGACACTGCATCCTATCGTAGGTTTTGATGAATCACCAATCATTAATGTTTCTAATTATAAACACTTAGGTTTGTTTTTCAACAGCAAGGCTAATTTGTCTAACCACATAAACTGTATATACGAAAAAGCTTGTAAAAGAATTAATATACTTCAAAATTGATAGGAAATCACTTGAAACTATATATATCCCATTCATACGTCCATTTCTGGAATAAGTAAATATTATATGGGCAAACAGCACGCAGAATGAATGCAGTGTTTTGAAGTCTATCCAACTAGAAGCAGCACGTATTATTTCAGGATTAAGACGTGAAACAAGTCATGATATCTTATATAGAGAATCTGGTTTTATAACACATAATAGATGAAGACAACTGCATCAAAATATTTGTTTTATAAAATATATGATTAGAAATGCCCCTCTCATGGCTATCATTTAATTCAACCGTACATTAATAATAATACTGACAATTATCATCTTCGCCAAAATAGAATTTTTGATGTTCCTATACCAAGTACTCAGTAACATAATGCCATTTTTCCCCCCGAAACTGATGTCTGAATGGAATAATCCAACTTGCCTGTACCCCACAATTACATCCATTGGAGCTATAAAAAGAGATTTTTTACTCTCAGATGAAATGGATTCTCAAACCAAATGTACTGATATTTTTAATACAATGGTGATCGTAAAGTTAATATTACCTTTTGTCAACTTAGAAACTGTGCCAGTAATCTGATTTCAGATCTATTTGAATCTCACCTAATTGATACCCCTGCCTGTTTATGTAGTTCTCATGTTGAGGATTGTGATCACTTCTTCTTCCATTGTATTCTGTATACTAATCAACGGCAACTTCTCTTGAACTTCATTTCTTCTCTTAGTGGCACTATACCATTAAATACTCAGACTTTTCTTTATGGATGTCGACGATTCGATATTGATATGGATATAAGTATTTTGGAGAGGGTTCAGAGATTCATTAAAGATACTAGACGCTTTTACTAGATTACAATTACTTGTTTATCTTTTTTCACATGACTTTGCTGTGTGGAATGATACCAGCACATTATTGTTCTAAGTGATGTCCACCAGCATTATTTTAATTGCCATTTTTTTTATACAATCTAGTTTTTGTAACAACAATTTTCAAAAAAACAATAATGACATGCAAATATCAATATATATACATGTAATATGCATGATTTATCATTTCTTCAATTCAATATGATGTGTGTAAACTGTTTATAACTGTAAGGAGAGGGCGCTCATAGGCTTTGCCTGTTACCCTATTCCTTTGTATCTAAGATATGAACACTAAATATTCTGAAATGAAAAGAAAAGATGATTTTTTTATTTAATTGATAGATCCTTGTGTATGATAGTATTATAAAGAATATTATTTCTTATTTTTTCTCTCATTTCACCCATCAGAATACGCTCAGAAACCATGAAAATGCGTTTGGACTGACTCCATTTTGAAATTATCAACTTTTCCCCCGAGCTTTTTCGACAAAAACGAATCGGTCAGTGATACTAAGCATACCTCATGTTAGGAAACAAAGTTTGCGAAAAAAAATGGTCTTATCTTTTTAACTTGTACGGTAAATATATCGTAAAAGGTTTTAATTTCATCACGTCGCATTTTCCCCACAGTGCAGCAGCGGAGTTTCCCAAATTCGTGACGTCACGTCATTGTTGAGCCATTGTGACGTAAAATGGGGTGTAAGATAAAAAAAATCAAACACCCCTTTCCTACTCTGGACAGCTCTATCTTACATACACGGAGAGAAAGATATATATACAATCAAAATCGTCACGGCGTCAACAAGCCGTGTTCAGAAAGACCACGCCCACAAACCGAACGGTTGTTTCAGCGTGTCACTCACTGCATCTGTCTCCCGATTGGTCGATAGAACGTTTGAGGTCGATGTCGTTCTTGATTTCAGAAGCAGTGTACAGCATTGTATCTTTTACCGAGACTTGTTGTTTGCGCGCATTGTCCACTTAAGATTACGCATTGCATTGCATGTACAAGTTTTTAAACCATGTGTCATGACTTAACTTTTTCTTTGAATGTGTATTTATTCACATTTTCGTGAACTTATAATGGTATTTCTGATTACAAGAGGGCAAAATGAAGAACATTACAAATGCTTGAAAGCTGTCCATTCCGACCGCTGCTCTGATAACTGTCAACGGACTTTGGATGGTGGAGCGACGCCATGTGACGAGTCAGTAAATCTGTTACAAATCTCGTTCTATGAAAACAAAAGTGTTACAGACGTTGACCTATAAATAGAAAAGTGTTACAGACCACTACTAAAATAGGCCTAGGTAATTCCCCTGTCAGTCTGTAAATCTGTTACAAATCCCTGAATTCGGCTACAAATGAGTTATCTCATCAACTATGTGATGCTGTCAATTGTGCAAATGATATTTACTTGATTTAAAAAGCACTTGAATTTAATCTCAGTTATGTATGCTATTTTATATTGGAAGTCCTTTTATCTGTGGTTCAAAAATGGTCCATGTCATCCATGTGTTTATGACATGAAAATGTTTAATCTCATTGTAAAATGTCATAATAAAACAATTGTGGACTTCAGTTTCGGTTTCTCTCTGATTTACGGACCCGAGGCCAAAGGCCGAAGTGAAAATTGTTCAGACCAGGTTCGTAAATCAGGAATATACCTCACCTGAAGTCAATAGTTGTATAATATATAATTAATTTATGAGCATAATAAAGGGCAGGAATCCTATCTTTGAAAGAAGCAGAATATTCTGATGAAATAAGGATGACGATGACGATAACTGAACTGCTTCAACTTCCATCTCAAGAAACCCTATGTTGTAAGTTTATTCGTTTACTTCGATATCTATCAGATATCACGGAAGTTCCTAGCAAGCTTTAAATAAGGATTAAAATGCAACATTAAATGTTGTAGGCAAAAGCTGCTATCAAGAAATGGAAAGTTCATGGCCAGAAAATGGAGATCATACCGTTTATTGGAAATAACCGTCCAAAATGTTCATGTTGCAAGTGGCTGTAAGGAATAATTGTAGAAGAATTATGTAAGGAAGAATTATAAGATACATTGAACGATTTTATGTTGCATATACAATCTGTCATATTCACACTATATTTGGTAATATAAAACATAATTCAGGACAGCAAGTATGTTGAAATATTCACACTTTATTAAGTTATATAAAACATAATTTAGGACAGCAAATATGTTGAAATATTCACACTATATTAAATTATATCAGAGACGTATATATAACAGAGATTGGAAAATTGCTCTTGACGTTACCATTGGTCACAATTACTGGATGCCATATCGCGAGTTACGCTTCACCTGTGCCATGTTGGATATACGGTTCAATAATTCTGTCCTATTCTAAACATAATTATGCCATGAGAAAACATCGAAAATGAACGTCATATTAAACCCGTAGCTAGCTGAGATTGCCATGCGGTTTGGGAGTGCTCCATTGAATGTAAACTTGAATAATTAAGTTTTAAACATCGAAAGGTTGCACATGAAATATCATGGCTGTGCTTACATATCAGTAATGATTCTGGCTAAAGGAGAACAGGGACAGAGACAATTTCAAAAACAACTTCAGATATCTATTTTTCAAAAATGAGGTTGATATAATACTTGCAAAGTTTAATAATGTAGCCCTAAAAATACATTTTTTTAAGAATAAACAAGTTAAAATGGCGGCTTTGATATGTGAGGGTTTTTCTTTCATGACACATTAAAGCACGAACTTCTTTCTAATTCATTTTTTAATTTCAAAAAAACATCTTCAGATATCACATCATATTTCTAACCAGCTTCTTAATATGAGCCATATATGTCTAGGATATGTGACATGTTGACACGAACTAACGAATACACACAGGTAACACAATGACCAGACTATCGTTACCAGGATCAATATAATTCTGCTTCGACATGTGCTTTAAGCCCGGTTCCGCGTGATTGCACAGCCACAACCCAAGTCTCGCGGCGTATCTTATTTCCACTGCCTGAACAATATGATCATGCGTGTTTTTGCAAGATCTGCGTGAGTTGCCAATCTCTGTAATATATACCGGTTATATAAAACATAATTGAGGACAGCAAATATGTTGAAATATTCACACTTTATTTGGTTATATAAAACATAATTGAGGACAGCAAATATGTTGAAATATTCTGACTTTATTTGGTAATATAAAACATAATTTAGGACAGCAAATATATTGAAATACGCTTTAAGTGAAATTTGCCTCCGGATTGCTGGCCACATCGGTTTCAGTTTAATGATTCAGCTCTTTTTAGGATGTCAATGAAGGTCTCGATCTCCTGCAGTCTTCTTTCCTCGATCTCCAGTCCCAACTTTTCAGACATTCGCTTTCCTTTTGTTTTCGTTCCTTCTGTAAAGTAGAATATTAAAATGAAGTTGATAAATCGTCAACACACAAAGACAAAAGTGAAACCCGAAATAACTACATGGTGAAGTAAAAGTTTATCTTTGGTTTGCTTTTTAAATCGACTTCTTCTTAGTATTATATCTGTATTTCATTTTTGTATAAAATCTTTTACGTCACAAGGTGACTTGCTGCTGTTGGACTTTGAGTCCCCGAGATTGCTAGAAGCTATATTATATTCTGGTGCAGTGTACATAAAAAACTGGTGTAAAACAATATTGTCTATTGTAAAAAAAAAGTTATTTGTAATCATATAACATTTTCCCCATTTTGCTGTGATTTTACGTATATTTCAGTTAGACATGCATGTTTATACATTTCATCACTGATGCGTCACAACTAATTCAATTAACAATGCTTCATTGTTCTTTAACCTGTAATCATCTGCTAACGGTTCCATTTTGACCCCGTCAAATACGGTAAGAAATAAATCTAAATGCTGATTTAAAATTCATTACCTACAACATTCTTTTGAAAGACGCTTGTAGATAATTATTATTCTGTTATTTAGAAGAAGAAGAAAAATATTGTCGAAATGTATAATTTGAATGATAAAGTTTGCCAGTTGCCTAGAAAAAAATAAAAATAAAAACAATACAAATAATTAAGAAAATGACAATGAAAACATGTACTATTTGATACATATTAAATCTCAGAAACAGTAAATGTTATAATCCAAAGTATAACGTTTTGATAATTTTACATTATAAAAATGAGGTAATCGATGCCTTGTTATAATGTTTAATATCATATTATCTTTATATATTTAAGAAATCTTACTTTTACAAGTTTTTGTAGTCAGGACTTGGCGGATAGAGTTTAATGCTGAGAAATCATCGACCATGAAATAGCTGTCCAGGTCAGAGGACATGACCTTCAGCTCGTCCTCCACTATGTACTGGCCGACGCCTGTAATAAATGTACATCACCGTATAAGGACACGTAAGCCAGTGAAGATGTATTTACACACTATATTTAAATAGTTAGATAATTGAAGGCTCATATTTACGCGATACATAGCTTCAAATATATACAATTTTGAATACTTCATTTTAAAACCCTTAAAAGTACCAAAAACGTATTTAAACACGATTTTTATAATTGTTCCCTTTCCATATTTCTCCATATTTAGTTTTAAGAACGATAATCATAACACACCGATTGCAAACATGCGGATTCCAAGCTCATGTGCTGCCCCTGCCATCGCATACGTCTTTTTCGGCTCGCGTGAGTTTCCATCAGTGATTATAATTCCAATCTGCGGAATATCTCCTCCTCTTGCACCGGAATCAGTTGTAAACATCTGGTCGAACATCATTTGTATAGCCTCGGCAGTATACGTAAGTCCTGTTGTGTATTTGACCTTTGAGATAGCCTTGTTTATTTCAGCCGAAGATGTGTACGAATTCAGGTTGAACTCAATCTTTGATGTATTGGCGAAGGTTATTAGGCCAACACGTGTGGCGTCTACGCCGATGTCGAACTGACTGACAACTTCTCCGATGAAGCTGAGTAGTTTTTTAAAGTCCGATTGTCCGATACTAGTGGATGCGTCCGCCACAAATACAATATCTGCTGTCTGTTGTCTACAAACTAAGAAAAATAAAAGTATAGCATAATATATCTATATAGTCGTTAAAACATGTTCTTGGACATTTTGTCGTTATTAAGCTGTTTGTTACTGTTTACTAAAAATATTTTTTTGACTGTTTAGTATATCAAAAACAAAGTCGCCATGATGCATATAAACTGTGACGAATAATTACTTATCATCACTTAATATGTTACAGACACATCGATATTGTCGAAATATTAAACACACGAACAGATAAACAGTATGTTGAGTATTAAAAACCGATGATATAAAATATTCAGTTTCTTATTTTATTCCACCAATACAGGCAGAGGTTTCACTACGTTTGTGGTTTAAGGTTACTTACTTTCCTGTGGTGTGTCCTGTTGGTTTTCTGCAGGAACAAAAAGCATTATGTTTGATTTCTGTCTAAATAATAACGGGAGTTAGGAAGGATATACATTGTTCCATAAAAGAAATTTTGTATGATATTTTTCATTTGAATTCTCAGGAAAATCAACGTTTAAATTGATAATAGTCAGAGCACGTACACTCAATATGAAATCCTTCATTTTATTTCAGATTTCAGATACCAATCATGAAATTGTTATTGTTAAACATTGCAGACCCTGTAGTGCACAGTTCATATTTGCTATATCTCCTTGATCATTAGCCCATCGTTAACACTTGTCATAACCTACATATCATACAAACGATCAATAATAATTGACATTTCCTGCATACATTATAAACCATCAATACTTGTTATTGCCTATATATCGTATAGACCATCATAAATACCTGTAATTAACCTACAGATCATATAGACCATCGTTAATACTTGTCATACCTTTATATCGTACAGACCATCATAAATACCTGTAATTAACCTACAGATCCTTTAGACCATCGTTAATACTTGTAATCATTACCTAGAGATCATATAGACCAGTATTTATACCTGTCATGACTTACATATCCTATAGACCATTATTAATACTTATCATTACCTACAGATCCTATAGACCATCATTAATACTTATCAATACCTATATATCATATAGACCATCAATAATACTTGTCATTACTTACATATCCTATAGACCATCATCAAAACCTTTCATTACTTACATATCCTATAGACCATCATTAATACTTGTCATTACCTATATATCATATAGACCATCAATAATACATGTCATTACTTACATATCCTTTAGACCATCATCAAAACCTTTCAATACTTACAGTTCCTATAGACCATTAATATAATTAACGTTTTATCGATCATATACGCAATCTTCACTATCAATGCCTACCTTCGCAGACCCTGTAGGCCAATATTTCTTTGATTTTGTTAAGAGCTCCAAGATTTTCGACAGTGAAAACAAAATCTGAATTTGGGTCGGATGCCAAGGTGTTTAACTCGGGTCTGTACACGGATCCGACGCCTGTTTAATAAAAATTGGCAGTGAACTATGTAATGAATTGTTATGACTTGATAGCAAATCGATTCACAAGCTTATCATTAGTTTGTGACGAGATCAAATGATAACAACACATGAATAGTTAATGTTGGAGCATTATATGAAACAATATATTCTTTTTAATAATGATATTGCAACGCATTTTCATTCAAAATTGTGTTTTAGGTAAAACAAAACAAAATCTCACCAATTGCAAACATGTAAATGCCTTTATTAAGAACCTGGGCGGCTTCCTCGCGGGTTTTGTACGGGTTGGTAGAGTTTCCGTCCGTGATAATGATCCCGATATGTGCAACTCCTTTCCGTGCCCCGTTCGCGACTGCAAATCCATCATTTTTGAGCATTTTGAGAGCCTCGTTTGTGAATGTGTTACCTCCCCTCCAGTCAATTGCCTTTACGGCGGATTTCAGCTACAAAGAGATGCCAGTTGGGTTAGACGTTTCATAAATATCAAACCTCTTTCTCTGATCATTTGATTAATTTTTGATCTTTTGATCCACCTTGAGTTCTGAATATTTTTTTCTGGTGACGTTATGCTATATTTTGCTACACTAACTTCACATTACGTTTTGTTATGTCTTCAGCTATTCACCACATTCTATACTAGTTCAAACATGAACATTAAGTGTTCCTTTATACAAAAGTGTCCTACAGTGATCTCTATATTTACAACAGCATATCCAACGGTTTCTAAAAACAGCATGTTGTATAGTAAAATATCATACTTTAAACATAAATCTTTATTACTTATAAGTTTCAAAAAATAATGGGAATTTCGATGGTTCCTATTTTTTGATAGATTATTGAAAAGCAAGAAATAAATTGGTATTACTGTGTGTATTTGTATCAATTTCAAGAGATTGATTTGAAATCTGAGATGAACACATATATTTGGCATAACTACAATCATTCGTTTGTCCTCTATATTCATGATATGTCTAAGAGAACATGACTCCTCTTTAGTCTCAATAAATGTTAAATTTGCTTCGAGAAAACTTGAACCGAAACCCAATGGCGGACAACACGACGCCGAGAACGAGCCAATGACGTTACATTACCATAAAGTAAAAAGGTGCTTTCCCATAAATGTTAAATTTGCTTCGAGAAAACTTGAGCCGAAACCCAATGGCGAACAACACGACCCCGATAACGAGCCAATGACTTTACATTACCATATAGTAAAAAGGTGCTTTATTGTTCGGAAACAATTCTTGTTTCAACTCGTATATTATACCAATTTGTTACAACCAGACTAAATGGATTTTGTTTTTTTGAGGTGGAAAAAACATCTCCTTTAATCAGGTGGTAAAAACAAAAGCTTGCATTATCTTAACACAGACTGTATCACTATAGTAAGACTGATAGGGCTCCGCTTGCATGAAACTTCTTAATTCATCGATTAAGTATGTGCTTAGCTCAGAAGTTCTTAACTTTGGCTTTATCAAACACGTTCTCAAATATTGGCCCATTCTAAGCCTAAAATCTAAGAATGGAGAATTAAGAATTTTTGTGGATAACTTAAAGTTAAGCATATGTTAAAATTGAAGTACAGTATATTCTTAAAGTGAAGCATTACAAACGGCGTTAAGAAGTTTCGGGCAGGATTTGTACATGAAGACCGCATTGTGGTAATTGATAATAATATCCTACCTCGTCCTTGTTGGTGAACTGGTTGAGTGGGAAACGCATGGTGGCATTATTACTGAAGGTCAGGGCTCCAACATGGGTCAGATCGACACTTACGTCTAGGTAGTCTATAACCTGCTGCACAAACGACAATTCCAGCTGAAAGTTCTCGTGGGAATGGATGCTGCTCGACTCGTCAATTAGGAAAAAGACGTCGGCAGGTTTACCTTGGCACACTGTTGAAAAATCCGAGATTTATTATTTTAAATGAGTACGGTCATTATTTGCAGAAATAATAACATTTTCATATATGTACACGTTTATTAGAAACATATTTGTTTTTGTGGTTATATTTCTGACCGCATACAATGTAATCAATAAGAAAAACTATTTCCAACAAATACGTTTACATTGTTCAGTAAAACTTAAGCAGAAATAGTACCAGAAATGCTTTACATTTAACGTTTTTAATCATTCTCAAATCAATGTATACCACTTATGTACGTTGAATATGTTGTAGAACATTGTGGTCAAAAACATTTTATATGTAATGTATTTATATATTTATAGAGAGAGACGATAACGCAACGTTAACAGAAGTATAAATCAAGCTGAACTCAATCTCTTAACCACAGGAAGAAGACAAAAAGGAACGATGGAGGTCGGAAAGCATTATATATCAAAGAATACTTTTACCTTCTTTTGGATCCTCTCCTTGAGGTTTGGTAGGCGCTGTAATGATCAAACCACGCTGATTTGTTAGAAATGCACAAAACACAACTGATTTAATGGTAGTAAAAGTATTGATAGTATAAACATTTCAAAGAGTTTCTATACATAATATTGCGCAAGAAAAAAAGCGTAAATACTTACTTATCTGTAACATAAATTCAGCAATTCTATGGAACAAAAAGCAATGTTCGGCCTTTGTTTCGCTACAAGTTTAGAGCAAGGTTATGAACATTTAGTGATAATCAAAGCAGCACATTGAGTAGATATAAGGTAAATAGGCAGACTCGCTAACATAAATATGTACGTGCGGATTTATAGTGACTGCTCCTTAGCGGCTTATGACTGGAGTAAAGAGCTTCTTAGTGACGGGTACAGTCATTTCCTGATGGTATATCTGATTTAAATGGCACTTACTGATTGGGTGATTGTAGTAAAAGTTAACTATTCAGATAATAAAATTACTTATCAATGATATGCCCAAAGTAACTGTAAATATATTTTTCTGATGAAATACTTGTAAAACAATGTTATTTACTGTACTTTAGTATTAAGTGTTACTTACTTATTTTATACCTGCAGAAAATGTAATTACTAAAGACAAAATGTAGTAATTTAACTTACTAATAATAAACCTGTAATAGTAATACTTAATAATAATATACATGTAGAGAATGTAATTACTGATAGTATGCCGGTATTGAGCGTTACTTACTAAGTATATACCTGTAGATAATGTAATTACTAAAGACAAAATGTAGTAATTTGTCCCTTACTAATGATAAACCTGTAATAGTAATACTTAATAATAATATACATGTAGATAATGTAATTTCTGATAGTATGCCAGTATGGAGCGTTACTTACTAATGATATACCTTTAGAGAATATAATTACTGATAGTATGCCGGTATGGAGCGTTACTTACTAATGATATACCTTTAGATAATATAATTATCGATAGTATGCCGGTATGGAGCGTTGCTTACAAATGATAAACATGTAGAGAATGTAATTACTAATAGTATGCCGGTATGGAGCGTTACTTACTAATGATATACCTTTAGAGAATGTTATTACTGATATAATGGTTGTATTGAGCGTTACTTACTGATTGGTAGAAGGCTAGTGACCGGAGGGGCTTGCGTTGTTACGGCTGGAATTAAACAATAAGATACTTGATATGTTGAAGGTTATCATTTGTCTTCTCTTACTGCATTATTTCCACAATATTAGTACCATCTTACAAACAGCCTTTCAAACGATAACACGTCAGTGTATACGTGGTTAGATTCAACATTAGAACACATTCTTTTTGACGCAAGAAGGTATTGAATGATTGAAACTTTGCATTGCTGATTTATGAGACGATAACGTACCTTGACGCCCTGTTTTATCTTTATACTTGTGTTAATACTTTACCGTGACACGCCCTGTAGGAGAGCACCTTCTTGACTTTCTCTGTGTTCAACTGGTTGTAGCTATCCACTTTGATCATGAACAGGTCGTCGGGGTCAGTAGCTATTCCTCGAAGTTCGTCTTCATTCACACCAGGTCCGATACCGACAGCAAACAAGTATATGCCGTCGTCCTTAGCTAACTGCGCTTGCTTTTGCGTTTCGGCTTTGCCCATTCTGGTCGAAAGTCTGTCATAATTCCCAGGGTTGGTTGTCCCGTCTGTTAGGATAATACCCACGTGAACTACATCGTCACGAGAACCTTTACCGGGAGCAAACAGATAGGTACGCATGCGTTCAATAGCTTTATACGTCCTGGTGGCTGGTCCTTGGCTATACCGAATGTCGCCAACGTCTTTAATGACACTCGATTGGTCACTTCCGGCGTTGAACTTGAACTCGTCATACACATTTGCGCTATAGGAGACTGCAGCAAACTGGACATCCTCCGGCCCAACGTCAAAGCGTCTGACTAAATCTTCGATGAAATCCTTCTGGACACCGAAATCAACCTCCCATATACTACTGGATGAGTCGACAACGAAAGCAATGTCTGCCTTGCATTTCATCTGATCTACTGGATGACCTAAAAACATACGGATACTTACGACTAAGAATACATGGCATTAGGGATATTTTCATATAAATATTATACAGCATTTGATATAGAGCCCTTACTAGCTAACATAAGCCACTCTAAATCGCTTTACAGTATATAGATATACAAGTAATACAATGAGCATAAATTAAACATTAATCGATACAATTTTGAGGAATTCGCAGGAGCTGCCTTATTAGGCGCTAACTACTAGTCCTATGCCACCTGGCTAATATCTCCCTATGTGTATATGCCTGCGTGTGTGCTGAAGATGTAATGTGTTCTGTTTGTACATTGTAGTAGGATCGTGCTTCCAACGGCATCATTTATACTGCAACCTCACTTGAATGCTACAGCACAGATACTGCAACATCGGACCCAGGACAATTTATACTCCACCTGGATTGTTGAAGTTGTGTGGGCAGGAGAAAAACGTTTTCTCTGAATATCCATGCGTACGATGACTTCGGGGATCAACCCCCGGCCGCCTGCGTGGAAGGCCGGAGTGTTAAAAACTCGACCAATCCGCCCATAAATACAGAATACAGAAATGGTGTAATTATATACTAGTGTTATAAATTAAGAATACATCTATCTAAAGGTTATTATGGTACATCCTATACTGGCACTCAAAAGAAACAAAACATTGTTGTATTGATTGTACTTTATTAATCTATTGATAATACTGTGAAACCACACTGTCAAAACCTACTTAAATATGTGTTGCAGCAATGAATTGACTTCAGTTTTATTCAAATGTCTCCATGAAACGACGATGTTAGTATCTACCAAGTGTTCGTACAAAATCAAGTTCACAGAATTAATACTGCTTGAAGGAACCATTGGCGTTGACCACAGTATGACAAGGACTTCGCATTGAAGCAATGAGTCGGTTCAAATACCTAATCGGGATCCTTCGCCATTCTTCCTGTAAAGGCGTCCTCGACAGGTCCTGTGTTTGAGGCTATTTACGATGATTTCTCTCACCCTTCTGTCAAACTTATCTCAGGGGTCCTCAATGGGATTTAGATCTGGGGAAAGCATTATTCCAATGATGATCTGTTGACGAAGAAATTCTATGTTAATGCGTGTGACATATGCACGTGTGTTATCCTGGTGAAACGTGCCACCATTTGTCACCATGAATGAAACAGTAGTACCAAGACTAAACCCTGTAACGTTGACCGTTCTAGCTACCGTCGACAAACACAAGGTGTGTGCGGCAATCGCTAAATATCCTACTCCACGCCATAACGCTTCCATCGCCAAAACGATCATGACTTAGCGTGCAGACGTCCTATCGTTCATCACGCCTACGATACACTCGCGCTCTGACATCTAGCGAGCGTTAGAGTATATATCTGTATAGAACTTGTTGGCACTGGCATAGAGACCATCGCGGATGTTGTACTTACGCAGAGCGACTTTGGATACGACGTCGGCTCAATCGAGGTACACGAAACGGTCAACGAGAACATAGCCTTACCCCGACTTACCGACGGATTACAGGTTTTGGACTAATGCGATGGTGAATTGTTATATAGGAAGCAATCCTTGTCGCCGTTACCGTCCGAGTACGCAGACGACATAAACAGATATGCGTGTCCTACATATGTATCTATGTGACGTTATGTGTGACCTTCCTGACGTTGGACGATCGGTCGTCGAGTTCGTTGCTGCAAACCTGCTCCAAAGCCTGGATATGGTTATTCTGGCCACACCAAACCACTGGGCGACCTCAGCGTACATGACTCCACGTTGTATTACGCGAATGGTCCTTTCACGGCTTACGTCATCAAGCAGTGGCATGGCTGATTTGGCTAGGATAACAAAACCAACGATATGGTTCCTGTTACTGACACAGTAACCCGATAGAAATAGAAATGATTCGGAGCATTATATTCTCGTTAGACCGCATACATTCACCAAAAGTGCTTGATATGTGTAGCTTTGACAGGTGGAGTGTTGTATTTTGAAAGTAGACCTCGTATCACTATATAAACTTTGTTTTATAGCCAATTACTTGTTATTTAAACTGTTTTCTGGATTATCATTTCAAAATATGGCAAAAGGGTGTCAATTCCTGTACAGAAGTTTGTTTAAAGGGTTTGGTCGAATAGGAACCAATTTTTGTATTTCTTTCGCCTTTAAATTTAAGGACAGCATGTTTTCCAATTTTAAAAATACCCAAGAAGAATGAGACTTTCCTAAGTCATAAACGCTTATGAGGAAAAGCTTAGTCACCTGAACAATTTATTCAAATATGTTATTTAAAGGAGATGATCGAACATCATTTTAACAAATACAGAAATTGAGTATCATTCGGACGAGTTTGCATTTAAGACATATTCATTACATAACTATCGGAAGTATAAGCTTGGTTTCGAATATAGATATAAATATTTTAGTTGAATACTTACCAATCGTTAATTTGATCTGAAAATACAAAAGCAAATGTCTTATGATAAAATGATAGCAAATTCATTTAATTGTTTGAAACAAGATTAAAAGATCAAATTGTTAGAAACGAAATTTTTAAAACATAGTAAATCCAAAGGTTACAATCCAATGCATGAGAAACATTTAACAAAAGAAAGTGATGTATTCCAGATTGTTATTTTTTTTCTCTTTTTTCTCTTTTTATAAGTCATTAACATTTTTAATTTGATAGTTGATATTTGTTGATCATTAAGAAGTGACATTATTGATATCATTTCAAAACTGTTTAAATATCGTGATTTATAACAATACACTGTAGACAACAGATATTTTTATTTTTGCTACAAGGTTAGGGCCATTTTCGAGGAGTGGTAGTTCACTAGCAGAATCAACCAGCATATGAAATAAAATGTTCACATGAAATACAAATGAGAAACGTCTATTTTGATATATAATAAATCAATGCCAAAACAAGCCTAACGATGTAAATGATTTGCTACAATCGCCATTTTCTCAATGTATGTCTCGTCAGTAGAATTGAAGTCAACAGAATGAAAAATATGTCTAATTTACTCCGAAAATACACAGAAATATAGCACAAGGGGACAACTGTCTATAAATTAACACGTACTGCTTATGTATTTTAAGTAAAACATACATCGATAGATAACAATGAATCGGAGTAACAAAAAACATGCAACCTACTAATACTTATAAATTTATAATAGATTGTCGAAGAAACAAACATCAAAATAAATCTACAAATGGCAATGTGTCGATGTAACAAACATCAATATAAATCTACAGATGGCAATGTGTCGAAGTAACAAACATCAAAATAAATCTACAAATGCCAATGTGTCAAGGTCACACATATCAAATAAACCTACAGATGGCAATGTGTCGAAGTTACAAACATCAAATAAATCTACAGATGGCAATGTGTCGAAGTAACAAACATCAAAATAAATCTACAAATGGCAATGTGTCGAAGTTACACACATCAAATAAATCTACAGATGGCAATGTGTCGAAGTAACACACATCAAATAAATCTACAAATGGCAATGTGTCGAAGTAAAACACATCAAATAAATCTACAGATGGCAATATGTTGAGGTAACAAACATCAAAATAAATCCACAAATGGCAATGTGTCGAAGTAACAAACATGAAAATACATCTACAGATGGCAATGTGTCGAAGCAACAAACATCAAAATCATTCCACAAATGGCAATGTGTCGAAGTAGCAAACATTTAAATAGGTTTACAGATGGCAATGTGTCGAAGTTTCAAACATTAAAATAAATCAACAGATAGCAATGTGTCGAAATAACAAACATCAAAATGCATATACAGATAGCAATGCGTCGAAGTCATAAATATTCAGAATAAGCAGGCATCGGAGCAACAAATAGTCACAATCTATTTATAGATAACAATGTTACGGGTTAACAAACACTACAAAAATATCTGAAGCATTGCAGAACATCAGAGTGAAAATTATATAAATAATATATTGATAGAGATGTACCGTATAACAGATATTCTAAATACAACTGTAGATGGTGATGTAGTGGAGGGAGCAAATACTAATGATTTAACTGTAAAACAGGAGAGCGAAATAGAAAAATACATTGCTTTGAAAGTATCAGATGCGACGAATCAAAGTATGTTCGTATTTCGTCAGAGAAACATTAGTATGTCCGATTCGAAAAGGCTCTAAACGCTAGTTCCTTCTATATATGTAGTAAAAAGACAATAACTTACCAGCAGACCAACAATCAAATATAGCTTGATGGTACACATATTTCTAATCCTGTTTCTTCTCCTTTCCTGTTGTTACTGTCTCTTGTCAGGCTGTTACATCCTTATATAGTGCAGAGAAATGGAAATTCCAGGTTAAAATGACTAAAATAATGCGGTAATCAAAATCATATTGGTGGAAATAATTGATATACTGAAAACCTCGTTTATGTGAAATTCCATCCGAATAATTTGTATCTGACATCTAGATGCATTAACAGATAAGTAGATTTTTCTGTAATTACCGTGTCTAAGGGGTGTGCCCAATCCCGGCCGAATCCTCCATGTAGGATTTACGTTCACATAAACAGATGTCGACAACGCAGAATAAGATATAAAACACGATCGCCATCGCCAGGGATCTAATTATTCATACCAAAATGTGTGGCCATGTTAAAAAAAAAACATCAAGTATTTCGGACTGACACAAAACGAGGTATACATGTTCAGAAACTTTCGTTACAAAGTTTAAACACCAGTAAACAGCCGAATGATTTAAAAAAAATTGTAAAAGCCAGGAGGTTAAACGTTAAGTTGATTTTGACATTTTGAATGCGCTAGAGAAGTATAATGTAATAATTTAATCTTGCTTGTTACAAGTATTTTCAGCGCATAACGTAAAAAAATGACGTCGCCGTCTGTAACGTCGCTTTTGATTGGCTGATACAGCGGCGTAATAATTTCTAAAAGAAAAGAGTCTATCAATAAAAATGGATTTCCACAGGGATTGTGTATAGTAGATTTAATTATAAAGATTGACTTGCATATATTTTTCATGTTATGGAGCTATAACACAAAAAACCTGAGTGTACGTTTTTTTGTGTTATATATCCTTAAATACCAATCAATTACCTATGGAGACAATAAACCAACTGTTGAAAGAACTGTTTATCAAAAACATGTATCAAAGTAAACGGATTTAAACTAAAATCTCGTAAAATTGGTGTTCAGCATAACGTAACTGATGAAGGTATTGTTTGCATCTGACGGTATGAAGGTATTAAAATATGGCTGAAATTCAATCGAAAGAAAATTAATGAATAATCATATTCTATCAAAATGATACTCCATCTCTAACACAATTACTTTTTTGCACATCCTACTTGCACATACAACTACGGTTATAGATTTTCTCACTACCTTCATTCACATTCTTTCTGTCAATTCACTTGAGCTCTTGTTTTCAAGAAGAATATTTAACCATAATTAGCCTTCAGTAACTAGGTTACCAAAGGGATATGCGATAATTTTAGCGAATTACTTAAGTGATAATTGGTTTTTCTATATATGTGTTTTTTATGTTGTACAATCATATAGACTATTTCTTTGCTATATGTTGTGATATGTAATTGTTCATGTTTCTGTCTTGAACAAGGGGCCGATCGCCTTGGAAATATGAGAAAAAAAACTATATATTGTCTGCACGGTCGTTAAAACGTCTTTGCTCCAACAAACATCTGTTTGTTAAGATCCAGTCCCCATATAGCGTTCCAGCGTTCAGTAGTTTTAACTCGAAGGTACTTTGTTTGTGTTGTCGGGTGTTGACGTCGTAATGCGATTTTCTGTCTTTTAGAACGATCAGTAGGAAGATAACATACCTAAATGCGCTATGAATAACTCTGAAAGCTTTGAGCCAATATACACAAAACTCCATACATGACCTGTCTACGTAATACATGTAGGGACTGCGATGGCCGTGCGGTTAAGGCGTCTGACCGTCAACGACCACTCGTCTTATTTCGTGATTATATTAAGTTTAGTTTACAATAATTCATTTGGATAACAAGTGTTCTTTTGCCACAAGCCTAATTGCATTGTATGCAATAAACTCAAGTTTTTCAGTATTCATATCTTTTTGAAATTAATATTCATTTCTACAATTTTAGAGAAACAAGTATTGCAGCACATACATATATGTATATCTTTTCGTGTAAATCAATATTAAATATATATGTATTTTTATTCACTATTAGAAAAATGTTCGCTTCTAAAGAACATACATTTTACCAGAGTAAACCTTTTAAATTGGCGCTAAATAAGTCCTATATCCGGTTTGTTGCACTACATAATGTATAAAATGTCACTGTTTGCTACTAGCACAATCGTTTACGAAAAGTGGGGCTGTTACTGCGGTGCATCGGCGCTTACTCATCCCATAATAGTCTGCGTATAATTAAAAAAAAACCGGTTACATTATACTCATTTGACCTTTTATCGTAGATCATAGTCCTTAAGTAAGTAAGTAATTACCGTTCGAAAACGAATTTAAAATCTAATGAGCTCTGCACGTATAATTATGCGATCATAGAAAAGTTTCGCTTACACTCCCTGTACAACATATATCAGCAAAAAAACACTCACCAATCAGACTGTAAATCAGCCTGCCAGTCGGCCAGCTCGGCATATAACATTTTTAGCGTTTCATGGCTTTCTTTCTTTCTATTTTCAAATTTTATTTCTAAATGGTTTTGACTTCGTAAATTTACAATATCCTAATGAATGTGTTAAAGAACAGAGATATGGAAGGAAGCAAGGTAAAGTCATAAGACTGTCCCATGACTTTTTACTAACATATTAAGTACGGAAGCACCTGAAGTCATACGTGGGAGACATAGGTAATTACTTATCTAGACGGAAAAACCTTTTTTTACATCGCACCCAGTTAGTAGCTGTTGCAAATACCAATCCAAACCAACTCTGAAGACTTGATTATGGTGACCATCAGATCGCCATTGTTGTTTGTTTATCCCGAAAACCATACTTTACCTGTATTATTGTACAAAGTCGAATCGCATGGTCATATTTTAAAACAAATATTCCAAGCCGCACGTATCGTTAACCTTGCAGAACTTACATATACTCTTTACTATCTGTCAGCAGTGAAGTAGCGATGGGAAGGATATAAACTGAGAGGTCATCACATATATCTGTTGATTTAAATAAAACCGTTTTTTATTGTATCACTTCTACATAGTGACATGTACGCACCTGTATAATGATCTAATATATTACCCGGAATTCGTATCCAAACAAAATAACTGATTTTTTGAGATTGTTCCTAACATTGATTCTATTATATTTAACAATGTAACACGGAATTAAATTTAATATTCACAAATTGCATCACCTGCTCTTTGTAATGTTTTCATGATATTTTTTGAAATTCTCATCATTGTATCCTTATGTATTAGCAGAATCTGAAGTATATGATACGGGTTCAGGTTCACAGTGTAGCGCTGTACTGCTTCAACTTTGCCCTAGAAATAGAGCGAGATAATTATAAGTCTGCTACACTGATGAAATAGATGCTGAAATGACAGTTATTTTTACAATCAGTATAACTTTATTGACTTTGGTACACAATCAAGTGTAGGTCAGCATAGGAACTGGTATTCCACCTAGTGTGGCTAAAAATAGGTCCATGTCTTCAAGCATATTTGTGTGCAAAGAGAAAAGCTAGCTGGCAAGCATACCAAGCTTTATATGGCAATCCAGAACGCTGACCGAACGAGATTTAATTTTTTTGACCTTTGATATCAACAATATGTAATGGCGAAATGACACATGTGACAGTTTCCGTAATTTATTTCATATTCACATGAATTACGTGTTCTTAAGTATTATCAATCGACCTCGTAATTTGTTAAACGTCATAAAGATAGCGGATGTCAGCAGCTATCATTTTTTTCCACCAAAGTTCTCCTCGTAATCATGACTTGAGGTTTTGTGTAGAAAAACCCTAATAAATTCGTATTCAAGGTATTAATTGTATTTGATAGGCTCGTTTTGTTTATTGCTATGTTAAATCCAGATAAATCGTAAACCTGTGATTGACAATGAACTGTCCAACGTTATGCGTATGATACACTACCTAGTCTTAACAAGTCTAACATATGTACCACTGAAGCTATAACTAACGTTACCTGCATACTTACACACAAAGCCTACGGAATAGAAGTCATCGTGCCGACTGGCTACCAGTTGTCTGTCTGTCCATGTTTCATCTAATATTAAAGATTGCTTGCAATCTTCTAAAATGAAGCGGACACAACGGTATCTTCCTCCCGATGAGGATAGACTTTAAATGGAACACTGTCTGTCTAAAAGCCACTTCTTTAAATTTAAGAAGACTTATATTTGGTTTATCTGTTTAATGCAACCTATCAACCAGTACCAAAAATCGATGTTTATAAAATGAAGGTATGGAAGAGGTTAATTGGATGTATTTAATCTAATGTTAAGATACATTATGTATCAAGCCGGAAAATACTTGATGTTAAGGAATAGTTAAAAAATAGCATCAGATATATTTTATGTGCAATTGAACAATATCCTATTCCCTTCGTAATAGTTCTTGCATCCAGCTTCAGTATCCTAGACATATAGATCAAACACAACTCCACCGTTATAACCCAATATTTGCATTCGTGTTCTAGATAACAGTACCAGCTCAAAATGTTTGTTTGCATGATTCAATAAAAGCAAGTGTATAGTAATACTAACAGTACTACATGTACCGTTACATGACCTCTGACACACACACACACACACAACCACACACACACCACCCCACACACTCACACACATGCATGCATTTATATTTTAATAATCCTTTTTTTTTGATATTATAAACAGAAATCAGCATGTTTATAGAAATTTAAATCCGCGTATTCAGCGTCTTAAATTCCTCGTGTGCTCACTCCAGCCATAGACATTTGTAACGAACCACTATGCTCCAGCCAATATGTCTGACAGCGACGTCGCGGACGTGTCCCTAGAATATGGAATGACTGTGGTTTTGAATCAAGGCACATCACGTATATGGTTGATATTGTTAACAAAATAATTCACCGTCTTCTAGAATCTACACTAGCGTCCGTTGCACAAGTAGCGAAGCAGGCGAAATCGTCCCGGCTCGTCGGCTAGTCCCCTCATCGATAGTAACACATGCCGAATGCTCAAACGATGAGCTAGTCCTGATGACAAAGTCAATCGACACAAGAATTCAGCCAACAGCATCTTTTAAATCGGCATCTGGTTTCTTAGGAAATTCCACATT